GTGTGGTGCAGTTGTTGTGTGGTGCACTTGTTGTGTGGTGCAGTTGTGTGCAGTTGCTGTGTGGTACAGTTGCTGTGTAGTGCAGTTGCTGTGTGGTGCAGTTGCTGTGTGGTGCAGTTGTCTGCACTTGTGCACTACTGTTATACCCAGATGTGTTATTGTGACACAGCTGTGATCGTATCGCAATTGTTCAGTGTAGTACTGTAAAATACAATTTGTAAAATACAATTTGTAAAATACTGTTTAAGCTGTACAGTACATCTGTAGAGTACCTCAATATTCTGTGCAGTACAGCCGTAGAGTACCTCAATAAGCTGTACAGTACACCTGTAGAGTACCTCAATAAGCTGTACAGTACAGCTGTAGAGTACCTCAATAAGCTGTACAGTACAGCCGTAGGGTACCCAGATGTGCTGTACATTACAACCGTACAGTTGTCAGTACTTCAATGTTACATATGTTTCTTCAAATCGACATCGATTAAGACTGCAGTTGTGTACGCTGTGCATCTCTGATTTAGTACAGTTATAAACTACAGTTATTTACTGTAAATAATCTTTACGTATGTATACTACAGCCGTGTAAAGTAGTTGTATGGCACAGCTATGAAATACAGATATAAAGTACAGCTATAGAGCAGGCAGCCCACATGCCCGGTCGGTCGTTCACCTTCCCTGTCAAAAATACGGGCGCTTTATGGCCGCCTCAGTGCCAAGTGGCCATCGATGATCCATCGATAAACCATCGATAAACCGCCCTTAACATTCTAATTAGTTATTCACTGTAAATAAATAGTTGTGATGGTGGTATAGGGTGAAGAGCTTCTTATAGGCCTCGAGATATGGAACCTAAACTTTTATTTAAACGTTACACTACACTTATATATCGATAAATCGCCCTTAACATTCTAATTAATTATTCACTGTAAATAAATCGCTGGGATAGTGGTAGGGTGAAGAGGTTCTTAAGCCTCGTAGTAAAACACCCAAACTTTCATTTAAACTTTACAATCATTTAATATATATTATTCCTGTATTGGTGAACATTTGCCATCAAAATATTCATGTATTCATGAATATATTTGTACAAAAAATATGTTTATTTTAGTAGTATTTATATCAACGCAGAATCTTCAATCATTTGAACCCCGCACGACGCGTTGCCGCGCGTGTAACGGCGATCGCTACGTGGATAACGGGCCGGTCTACGGACCAATGTTAGGACCCGTTGTAACGGTCTTGTCTGGGGTCTGCAGTAGCAGGTCTGCAGTAGCGGGTCTGCAGTAGCGGGTCTGCAGTAGCGGTTGTCTGCAGTAGCAGGTCTGCAGTAGCGGTTGTCTGCAGTAGCAGGTCTGCAGTAGCGGGTCTGCAGTAGCGGGTCTTCAGTAGCGGTTGTCTGCAGTAGCGGTTGTCTGCAGTAGCGGTTGTCTGCAGTAGCGGTTGTCTGCCTTATCTCCCTAAGATTATGTATGACTTGAAGAAGCATCATTGCTGATCAGTATTATTTATGTACACTCGTCATCTTCCTACGCGTACTTTTCCCTACGCGCAAGCACCAGTTTTTTTCCGTACGAATGTCCACCAAATTCTTCCGCTACAACAAAACTAACCAAATTTTCCGTACGCGGACCACAACCGGTCTTTTTCGTACACAGAAGGATACCATCCTTGTACGTAATGTATCATATACTGATTTTTTTGTCTGTTGAACTGCCTGTCTTTTTCGTAGATACATCCTACCGATTTTTAGCGCATTTTCTCATTTATGGAAAAAATGCACTATTGTGCTCGCCATGTCCGTCTGTCTGTCTGTCTGTCTGTCCGTCCGTCTGTCCGTCCGCCCGTGACCTCAAGTTTTCGTCGACGAGGAAATGCCCTCTCTGTCACTCACTGCAGTGAGTACTGAGTTATATTTTTTTATTCGTGCGTTAAACAACCAGCTTTTGCGTACGTTTAACAAATACATGTTTTCGTGAGAGTTTTTTTCGGACTCATCTGTTTATGTACGAAATTCAGATTTCAATTTAGAAATTATTTCAGTTCGCTGAAGCTTTTTAAAAAAAATTCTTATTGGGATGAAATGCACAAAAAACGTTCGTTTCTAAAATAGCATGCAACATGACAGGCGTGATGATGGTGATTAATGGTGAGTGTTTTGGCGTATAGTGATCTGACTTGGGAGCAGCAGCATGATGATAAGACTAACTATTTTCTTAAAGGTTAATTTAAGAACATATTTCTGAATAACCATATTTTAGATATTGGTTAGCAAAACCTTCTGTTGCTGTTATTGCTATTATTGCTGCTATTACTGCTGTTCTTAGCAGCAATAGTTCTTGCTATTACTGTTGTTGCTTCAACTATTGCTGCTAATTCTTTTGCTGCTGTTGTTGCTCCTCTGGCTGCCGATATTTCTTCTGTTACCGTTACACCTTTTGCGGATGCTCTACAAGTTACCGTTACCCCATCTGTTGATGCTGTTAGCTACAGAGTGCTGTTAGTCCAGAGTGTATTGGGGCTGTTAGTCCAGAGTGTATTGGGGCTGTTAGTCCAGAGTGTATTGGAGCATGTACACAGAGTGTATTGTGGCATGTATGTACACAGAGTGTTTTGTGGCATGTATGTACACAGAGTGTATTGTGGCATGTACACAGAGTGTGTGTGAGGGCGTATGAGCGGTCGACAGGTCTCGTGTGTGTTGCATAAGGCAGACAGCATGACACCTGCGACACACTCTGTGTTATCACCAAACACACATATACACAAACACACATTTCCCTGTGTTTGTATTCCAGCAAGTGTAGCTTAAACACCCAGACGAAATACAGTAATCGAAGCCATGTGCACTGAACGACCGTTCTTTTCTATGAGCTATATTTATTATTGATTAGACATGATTCTCGATTTTTTATATTTCTTCATATTAGTCAAAATTTCTTGTTACTATTATGCGCTTAATTCTTGCGGTGGCACTCACAAAAGTATGGGGGTTGCACTCACAAAAGTATGGGGGTTGCACTCACTAAAGTATGGGGGTGGCACTCACAAAAGTATGGGGGTTACACTCACTAAAGTATGGGGGTGGCACTCACAAAAGTATGGGGGTGGCACTCACAAAAGTATGGGGGTTGCACTCACAAAAGTATGGGGGTTACACTCACTAAAGTATGGGGGTGGCACTCACAAAAGTATGGGGGTTACACTCACAAAAGTATGGGGGTTGCACTCACTAAAGTATGGGGGTTACAGTCACAAAAGTATGGGGGCTACACTCACAAAAGTATTAGGGTTGCACTCACAAAAGTATAGGGGTTGCACTCACAAAAGTATGGGGGTTGCACTCACAAAAGCATGGGCGTTGCTCTCACAAAAGTATGGGGGTTACACTCACAAAAATATGGGGGTTACACTCACAAAAATATGGGGGTTACACTCACGAGGAGGTCGGAGGAAGGGTTGGGGCTCTTGGGTCGTCCGTTCGTTGACCTGCGATACGAGGTCACAGAGTGCCACTGAACTCATGCAGTGCCGCGCGGTGCTCGGTGCCACTGGCTCAGTGGATGACATCGGCTCAGATAGGTACCACCGGTTAGAGAAAGGTATATCATACTGTACACTTGGAAGATGATAAACGGACTGGCTCCCAACTTTGAGAGTGAGACCTCCAAAATAATAACATGTTACTACGTAAGAAGGGGGAGACTGTGTAGGGTTCTCCCATTTAATAACCGAGCCGCGGCCAGAGTACAGACTCTTCGTGAGGGATCACTGTCCGTGGTAGGACCGAGGCTGTTTAATGCCCTGCCAAAAGCGCTGAGAGGAGGGGAGTTCACCCTTGCAACATTCAAGGGACGACTGGACAAGTGGTTGAGAAAGATCCCGGATTGTCCAGTAATGGGAAACTACCCTCAGCAAGTGACAAGCAACAGCATCTTGAATCAGCTGGCCCAAAGGAGGGCAAATCGACAGAACACGTCCAACGTTACATCCGAGATCCGAGGGCGGGGTGTCCTGCCTAGCGACGACTCGGAGACGGAGGACGACGAAGGCGGCGCATCAGCGTGACCGGGGACTAGGAAGTCCCGAACTCATCATAGGGTCATAAGGTAAAGGAAGGTCATTAGGTGCAACCGGTTCAGTAGGTGCCTCCGGCTCAGTAGATGCCATCGGCTCAGTCTGTATAGCATAAACGGCAAAATGACTTTGGCTCTTCATCATTTTGTTGTTGGACGGAATCGCCGCTGATAAGGCGACCTTATCTGGCACTGCAGCTGCATCATAGAGTGCCGCTGCTACTGCATCATAGACTGCCACTGCAGCTGCATCATAGAGTGCCACTGCAGTTACATTGGCTTCGTTATGTACAAAAGCTGACGAACAGCGGCCATTTCTGACGACGATATCGTGTGGTTTCTTACGAACGTTTTATTGTTTGTTCCGTACGAGTTTTGTAATTCGCAGATCTTCCAGAGATTTACGTCTCATGAGATCATCATGCTTTATTCTATTGGGAGATATCACCCTAAGCAAGGGACGAATGTTGTTCTCGCTCATCAGTGGATGAGTTTTGCTATTTATGTTGATATTTTTTATTTGTGTTGCTATTTGATGAGTCTTGCTGTTTGTGTTGCTAGTGGATGAGTCTAGCTATTTTCCGTCTGCAGGCATAAGTTTTTCCATTACATAAGAACTATGGCAGGTACAATCGGATACTCAGTATTTGAGCGCGGATGTCTGAAGCATAGTTGTGGTTCAGTAGCAGTGTAGCGCAAATCCACTGTCGGTGGATGACACAGCCACATGACGATGGATTCGTACGATTTTTTTATAATGCATAGGAATTTTCAGGCGACATATAATTTTGCCATAATGATGGACTGCGCTTTAAACGTGTTCTTATTTATTTTCTTATTTTATTCTTTTATTTTAGTTGGCTAAATCTGTAGAATTCATGAAAATATTGCCACCCATGAACCTACCGACACCGATGGATTGATTCAGGCCATCGATAAATCGGCCAAAAATAAACGCAGGGAAAAGCGGCGACGAAGTGAAACCTGCGCACGAGCGCTTGATGATGACAGGGATCAACGACCTACAGCAGCCTGCCTGTTGCCGCGTGTCACCACGACCTGCCTGGCCTGCCTGTTGCCACGTGTCACCACGACCTGCCTGGCCTGCCTGTTGCCGCGTGTCACCACGAGTTGCCTGGCCTGCCTGTTGCCGCGTGTCACCACGAGTTGCCTAGCCCGTCTGTTGCCGCGTGTCACCACGACCTGCACCAGCCTGCCTGTTGCCGCGTGTCACCACGACCTGCCTGGCCTGCCTGTTGCCGCGTGTCACCATGAGTTGCCTGGCCTGCCTGTTGCCACGTGTCACCACGACCTGCCTGGCCTGCCTGTTGCCACGTGTCACCACGCGCTGCCTGGCCTGCCTGTTGCCGCGTGTCACCACGACCTGCCTGGCCTGCCTGTTGCCGCGTGTCACCACGACCTGCCTGGCCTGCCTGTTGCCGCGTGTCACCACGACCTGCCTGGCCTGCTTGTTGCCGCGTGTCACCACGAGCTGCCTGGCCTGCCTGTTGCCGCGTGTCACCACGAGTTGCCTGGCCTGCCTGTTGCCGCGTGTCACCACGAGTTGCCTGGCCTGCCTGTTGCCGCGTGTCACCACGATCTGCCTGGCCTGCCTGTTGCCGCGTGGAAATTTTTCAATGCTTCATCCCGTAAAACAGGAACAAAATTTGTTTTCTCTGCTCATTTGATTGCTCCAATTAATCTATGACGCAGTCTGCCCTATTAATGTGCGGTTTTCTTTGTTATGCAATGCAGGTGTAGAAAACGACACTCGATGCATAGAAAACGGGCGGTAACTCGTGGGATACACGTATACTGCTGTTACATACATGTACATAAATACTATCTGCGTATATTGCTACTACTCGTACTCAGAGCTGGGCAGCGCTACTTTGAAATGTAGCGGCGCTACCGCTACTGCTACACACACTTAGATTGTAGCGCCTCTACCGCTACTGAAAATGTAGCGGCCGCTACATGTAGCGCGCTATTGCCCACCTCTGACTGCTACTAATTATACTGTATCTCATCCACTATCCACGTAACTGCTACTACGTAGACTGCACTCTACAGTATCCACTATCAACGTTTACTGTATAGTATCCGCGTGCACTGCTGGATTTATATATTTCTGTTATTGCAATGTTATTTGTTATGTTAATATAATAATAATAGCTATCCGTTACGTCTGTAATGCTGACTCTATGCTCATCGCCCTCCTCCTGCCATGTGAGGTATAACGAAATGTTCATTCGATCTGCTTATATTCACGCCATAATGTCGTTATTGGATTACTATCCACGATTTTGACGGTCTCTCTAAGTTCAGTAATTCCTTGTTGGATCAGAAATTTTGTGCTGTAATCGCTATTTAATAATTAGTTACTTCAGCCTACGTCTCTTGTATGCGTGAAGAACAGCAGCGATGCTCGTTTGTTTACGTCTACACGCGTCGAGCGCTACTACGACGCAGCGTGTTCAACAGGGTTAAGAACAAAGCCCTGTTGATTGTGCTGTGTTCAACAGGGTTATGAACAAAGCCCTGTTGATTGTGCTGTGTTCAACAGGGTTAAGAACAAAGCCCTGTTGATTGTGCTGTGTTCAACAGGGTTAAGAACAAAGCCCTGTTGATTGTGCTGTGTTCAACAGGGTTAAGAACAAAGCCCTGTTGATTGTGCTGTGTTCAACAAGGTTAAGAACAAAGCCCTGTTGATTGTGCTGTGTTCAACAGGGTTAAGAACAAAGACCTGTTGATTGTGCTGTGTTCAACAGGGTTAGGAACAAAGCCCTGTTCATTGCCCTCTGTTCAACAGGGTTAAGAACAAAGCCCTGTTCATTGCCCTGTTTTCAACAGTGTTAAGAACAAAGCCCTGTTGATTGTGCTGCGTTCAACAGAGTTAAGAACAAAGCCCTGTTGATTGTTCTGTATTCAAAAGGGTTAAGAACAAAGCCCTGTTGATTGTGCTGTATTCAACAGGGTTAAGAACAAAGCCCTGTTAATTGTTCTGTATTCAAAAGGGTTAAGAACAAAGCCCTATTAATTGTTCTGTATTCAAGAGGGTTAAGAACAAAGCCCTGCTAATTGTTCTGTATTCAAAGGGTTAAGAACAAAGCTGCTCTGCTATAAAGGAAGACCAGCGACCGCAGCTTGCAGGGTGAGATAGCAGTGATGGGTGCAAGATATGGGCGCTTCCGTGTGTTGGGTTACTTTATTGTTCCTTCTTTGTTCTTCTGTGTTGGAAAATTTGTCCCAGTCTGCCACGGCCAACTGTTGATTCTAATAGTATTTTTTGTAGTATAGTATGTAGTATTTTGTAGTATTTTTTGTAGTATAGTTTTTTAATAGTATTTTTTGTAGTATAGTATGGTATAATATTATAGTGTCAGCGATGGAGAATAGGCCAAGTTTGGCCTGTCGCCGATTCCTAAAATGTTCTTTACTTATCTCCTGGGGATATAATAATTTTCTTGTTGACCAAATCTATCCTAAACTGACGTTGAGGCTGAGTAGCTTCTGATCATACATCATTTTGTGAGGTGGGAGGCGCTTCTAGACAAAATATACACGTCTGCTTATCTTTATCTATTATATTCTTGAATTGTTATGTTTCTCGAATGGTTAGTGATCGATTTGGCTGAGGCACACGATGCAGTACCTATACTAGCTTACCTATTACTGCTACCATATTTATACTGCTATAATAGAGGTGAACTGTAGGAACTTAATCCTAATATTAGGTTGTAATTGGACCAAAAATATTGATACTGACTGGAGAGCTACGAAATTGGAAAATACGAAGATAAGTAAAAAATCAGGAATATATTGACTATTTTACACGAAAACTGCCAACTAACAAGTCATTACGAAAGTTTAATTTACCCTTGAATTGTGCCCTATGACCAAGAAGTAAAATCAAAACTTCCCGGAGCATTGATTTTGACTTTTGACTAGGAATTTCTGCCTTAAAATTATTAGATAAGACTTGATTCTAAACTCTCGCATCTCTCTTGCCGTGATGCAGCATCGAAACTATCCGCTGTAATGCCGAAGAAACTCCTTGTTATATGAGAACTTTTTGTTCTCTCTGTTCTGCCACTGAGTGATGGCGAACGGACGCAGGCTTGGACTGGTGTCGTACATCATTAAAAAATCATAGGCGATTCATCGCCGGCCAAACATCGCCTGCTACTTGGCCGCCGATAATAAAACCAAAAGTACTGCAACGAAGGATATTTCCCTAGGGATAACTCATTCATTTTTGTAGAGCTTCCTGCTTAGAGTTCGCGGTTGTAATGAATCGCCGCTTCTTTGTTAACGCCGCGGATCAAGTGACATGCTTAATCCGCCCTGCGTGATATAATGTTAATCCTACCTGTGTTGTGTTGCAGCGTTAATCCTACCTGTGCTGTGTTGCAACGCTAATCTTACCTGCGTTGTGTTGCAATGTTAATCCTACCTGTGTTGTGTTGCAACGCTAATTCTACCTGTGTTGTGTTGCAATGATAATCCTACCTGTGTTGTGTTGCAATGTTAATCCTACCTGTGTTGTGTTGCAGCGCTAATCCTACCTGTGTTGTATTGCAACGCTAATCCTACCCGTGTTGTGTTGCAACGCTAATCCTACCTGTGTTGTGTTGCATTGTGTTGTGTTGCAGCGCTAATCCTACCTGTGTTGTGTTGCAACGCTAATCCTACCTGTGTTGTGTTGCAACGCTAATCCTACCTGTGTTGTGTTACAACGCTAATCCTGCCTGTGTTGTGTTGCAATGATAATCCTACCTGTGTTGTGTTGCAATATTAATCCTACCTGTGTTGTGTTGCAATATTAATCCTATACCTGTATTATGTTGCAACGCTAATCCTACCTGTATTGTGTTGCAATGTTAATCCTACCTGTGTTGTATTGCAACGCTAATCCTACCTGTGTTAATTGTGTTCCCTTATCATCGCCATACGTGACCTATAGTATTTCTACCGAAATTACTATGTTTTTCTTACCTAAATTGTATGTGTTGCTGCTCTGTAGCTATACACATTCATCCATCGTGATGACATTCATACAGAAAATGTAAATTATCTTAGCGATACTCGGCTGAATTATTATCTTTTAATAGTGCATTATTAATTATTATTTTTTTAATTATCAAAGTGTCTTTTGAATAATTTTTACTTTAAGTATCATCGTATAATTCCCGCCTCTAATGATTATTCCTAACATATAATAATAATTCCCGGCTAACAATAATTATAATTATTGATTTCAAGTGCCTGACACTGAAAAGATAATAAGTAATTAGTCTCAATCACAACTATTACCATACTTTGTGGTTCAAAAATTATGTATACATTATCATTTGTTTTTGGTAACTTGAAACAAATTCATTTTCCTTTAAGAGCCTCATTAATGACTTAGAAGTGCATACTTTGTCATTTGTTCTTGGTAATAGGAAACAAATTCATGTCCCTTTAACAGCCTCATTAATGACTTAGAAGTGCATACTTTATCATTTGTTCTTGGTACGTAATAGGCAAAAAAAATCCATGTTCCTTTAATAGCCTCAATAATGACTCAGATGTGCGTAGGTTAATAAATAAAGATTGTAATAATAACGATAATAATTATAGAAATGCCTACAATTGTTTCTAATGAGGCGAATTATGCGAATATTTAATGGACTGATTTAAGTCCTCGCAATCGCTGGCCGCACTGAAGGCCTGCCATGATTTTCAGTAAGGTACACGGAAGCAGGAAGCGTCAGTGCGCTCAGTTCAGTGAACTGCTCTCAACTGAACTAATTTGCTGACGTCAGCGAAAACGAGCGTGATTGCTTGTTGTTGTTGTGGTGGTGTGGTGATTTTGTGGTGATTTTGTGTTGCTGCTATAGTGCTGGGTGCTGCTAGTGCTGGGTGCTGCTATAGTGCTGGGTGGTGCTAGTTCTGGGTGCTGCTAGTGCTGGGTGCTGCTAGTGCGGGGTGCTGCTAGTGCTAGGTGCTGTTAGTGCTGGGTGCTGCTAGTGCTGGCTGGGTGCTGCTAGTGCTGACTGCTGGGTGCTGCTAGTGCTGGCTGCTGCTAGTGCTGGTATAGTGCTGGGTGCTGCTAGTGCTGGGTGCTGCTAGTGCTAGGTGCTGCTATAGGTAGTGCTGCTAGTGCTGGGTGCTGCTAGTGCTGGGTGCTGCTAGTGCTGGGTGCTGCTAGTGCTGGGTGCTGCTAGTGATGGGTGCTGCTAGTGATGGGTGCTGCTAGTGCTGGGTGCTGCTAGTGCTGTGTGCTGCTAGTGCTGGGTGCTGCTAGTGCTGGGTGCTGCTAGTGCTGGGTGCTGCTAGTGCTGGGTGCTGCTAGTGCTGTGTTGTTGCTGCTGCTGCTGCTGCTGCTGTTGCTGCTGCTGCTGCTGCTGCTGTTGCTGCTGTTGTTGCTGCCCCCACCGCCGGTGCTGAGGCTGCAGCTGTAGTGTAAACAACCACGGCGGGGGAGGGGAGAGGGAGGGGCAGCCAGGCATGCCGCCCCCCTGCCGCCCCCCTCATGATGTGCTATGCACGCCATCATTACATCATTTTGTAATGATGTACATTACATCAGAAGTAACTTTACATTAGAAGTAACTTTACATCAGAAGTAACTTTACATCTGAAGTAACTTTACATCACAAGTAACTTTACATCAGAAGTAACTTTACATCAGAAGTAACTTTACATCAGAAGTAACTTTAC